TATCTTTCCTCTCAGAGCTCAGTCAGAGTTTRTAAATGACTGATAAACTGCCACGGAAAAGTCCTTCCTACTCCTTTGTTTCTTTTACGATAAAGTAGCAATATGCTTCACTCAGAAGCTTATTTTGCAAATTTACCAAAGAATGGCCTCTAAATCTGCAGGAGTCATAGCTGGCTGCCTGTATTTGGGGGTAATCAAAGCTGAACCAGATGAACCGATCAGGCTGTTCAAACAGATTGAGCTTGCAATAGCCCTTTTCTGCTGATTACCCTGTCCCTGGCTTGCAGTGCAAGTTTTCAGCTTGTAAGCCCACTATGCCTGCAAATAWGACTTGGCATGCCCTGTGCTGGCAAAATATTTTTAAGACATTGTTGAGATCAAATGATCCATCTCTTCATGCATGTGCATAACTGGAGCGCTAAATCATCTGCCTTGCCAAAATCCACTGGACAGTAGAGGAGAGGGTATAGATTCCCTATAAGATATGTATGGGTAGCAGTTCATTCTAACAAATCCATAAGATTTCACAAGTTTAAACACTTCACCTTATCTTGAGGGCTCATCCTTAATGAGGTCCTTTGTATTCAGTGGCATAATGGCATTCAAAATATTACTGAAATAGTTAATATTCTCTCTTCTGTACTGAGCTCTCAAGATTTGACTCATTCACAAGCAAATGCTACAAAAGTGAGTGGTGAATGGGATGAGGTGGTTTCTTTGGCATTGTGTTGAGGCTGGATTGACTAAATAGATTATTTACTTCTATGCAATAGACCTAGGAAGCCAGGTTTGTTTGCTGCTTGATACATACGGTTTCACATACCACTCTCTGCTTTCAGTGCYGCAGATAAGATATCAACACAATTAAAAGTGAAAAATAATCTGTCTGCTCTGCCACTGGTGGATGCTCAGGGAACACACGCTGATACAATAGATTTCTGAATAATTTATACTCAGCATTTTTTCCTTGCACTCGGTAAATGAGGATGCCTAATGTGGCATGGTCAGAGTGATACTCTATCTGTCATCCATTAAGATAACAAGATTGGTGGGCCTGGAAGGAGTGTGGTGTGATACACAGAAAAGATGAGATTAAAAATTGAAGTGTTTGTCCAAAACGTTCTGTGTAAAGGGTGCTGATAAAAGCAGCTCAGAAAAACAGAATTAATTCAAAACTGTGATTTCCACAAAGCTTTGTCTTCTCTAAAATAAAAACACAAGATCTATGTTCCTTTCAAAAGTTGTGGATAAAAGGAATATACGAGTAAATCACTGTTCCTGATAGGCCTTCAGTAGCTTCCTCTATTTTAAATTCAAGTACTTTGTAGGTGCTATCAAAAACAATTATGTATGACAGTAATGCTTTATGTCTCACAGAATGGGATGGTTTTTTATATTCATAAGGCATTTTAAATTACAAAGAAAAAATAATTTGTGATTGTTTTTGGCTCTGGAGTGTTTCATCTCCCATCACAGGGCGTTAATTTGGACAGGATGCTAAAATATTTGCATAAAAAATGGCTTATGTAAATATTCAGCCAGATTCACTTCGAGGTGACTGTATTAGAGTAGGTAGTAAATTGTTTTCCAAGAGCCAGTAGGCACTAGAAGTTGATTAATTTATAATCAGTGGTAGTTTGCAGTCTCTAAAATTTCTGACAACTTCTTAAGGTCAGGTCACATTTGGATTTACTTGGTTTTTGAAGAAACTATTTAGGTTTTGAGATCAGATGGGAGTCATTTGACAAAAAGCACTTGGAGGAAGACTTAGGTTTGCTTCTAACTTCAGTATTTTTAGTGAAAAGGCCAGTGTTACTATACTGCTCTATTTGGAACCTGGCTTTGAAGGGGYTTAAATGTGTTTTTCTGTTTAACTGGGCAGCAAGCACCTGCACTGCAATCCCCAAGTCCTGTAGGGTTTTCTTTTGCTGCAGAACTGAAGTCAGGGTCCAAGACCCTGCACWGGAAAGACAGGACACTTTCTCTTTTTTCAGCTCAGATTCAGGAAATGTTTCTGAGCATGACCCAGCTTGCAGTGCCACCCATAACTTGTGGCTGCACAACACCAGGTTTATGGAGGAGGGTGGGGAAACTGAGCCCCAGCACCCAGCAAATGGTGCTCCTCACCTGCCAGTACTGAACTCCTGTTCCTCTCCCTAGGACAACTTGGTTTGGGGTTGGTGTGCAAAGATAGTTATCTTAGTGCCTGTCCAGAGGAAAATAAAAATCAAATCTTTTTGATGCCATATTGCTGAGCTTTTAAAATGAGTTTGCCACAAATCTTACAAGGAATGGTATCATAGTGCTGGCTTGAGGAAGAATGCTTGGGAGTGGGCACTAATATGCTGTGAAAACCATGTCCTTAATTCTGAGCAGGACCACATTACACCTTTTTTTCACCTGAGCATTTTATGTAAACAAGTTCATTTTTATTTATGTTCAGTGAGTAACTCCARGAAGAAAATCAAATGCAGGTGTTAAAAAGTAATTTGCAAAACAGCAGCTGAAGCCTCCACAATTAGTATCCTCCTCTATATCTTTCACTCTGTGGAGGGCATTGCCTGGGGAGKATAGGTTGTTGAGGAAACTCTCTTCATTTCAACCTGGAGATCTGATTTTTCCAAATTTGTTCTTCTTAAACCTTTTTTATTAGTAATGAGTTCATGAATGCTTTATACTTGCTGTCTGCAGATGGATCACATTTTTCAGTTGGGCTGTGTGGTCAACTTTGCCTGGTAAGGACTGAAGCAGCCTACTCTGCTTTCCCTTCCTGATGGACTGTAATTAAACCCTGGCTAATAAGGATGCACCCCCTGCAGCTATTKATCAGAATAGCTGATCAATCAGTAGGTGTCATTAGCTACAGGTTGAATTTGGTAAAGTACAGATATATTTGGAGAAGGCTGTTTCTTCTTCTTCCAGTATTGGGTGACTTTTTCATTTGAGCCATGGTGTTTTTCTTGCCGTGTCAGGCTGATGGCAGGAGAGTAATGCCATTGGTGGCTGTGGGTGTTTAATCACCTGCAGCTCTGATTAGGCTGGGGTGGCTGCCACAGAAGTTACCAGCTTGGCTGCATCTTTCCAGCTGGAAATAAGCTATGGAGAAACCCTTGAACCAGCACAGCTCACACTTTGTTTGTTCAGTTAAACCAAAATAGAAGCCATAGATGCCTCACATTGTTGTTAACCATATCAGCAATTACCCCAGAGTCAGGCGTCACAGGTAGGGGAATATCAAAGCAAGAAAGGAGTAAATATTACCATAAATTTTCTTTTCAGCAAGGAAATTAATGTACATACGCTTGCCATACTTGCCACTGCAACAATTCAAGCAGTGTTAATGATCAGAAGTATAGAATATAAAATAGAAGTTTATTGAGAACTTGAAAGGCTTTTATTATCCAAACAAATAGCTTTAAATTCTTCTTCTGTGTCCAGTTGCTTAAGGAAGAGGTATGGAGAGCTTCTATTTACCTCTTTGATGGAAAGCATTAAATATCTCCTAAATCAGAGGAGCTAACTTCAGGAGGAGGCTTGCCTGTGCAGGAGCTGCRGAAAACTTTTGCCAGGGGTTACGTGATTAAGGAGGCATTTTTCAGCTCTGAGTGAATCTGAGGTATTTTCATAACATTAGCATCTGTAGCACGTTGGTTGTGCAAGGAATTTATGACCAGCCCTTACTGCCTGCCCTACCACTCCCTGATCATATAGCCAGAAAGTCTCCCAGTTAGCTCTGAACCATGGGGGCTTGGGCTTTTGAACTGCTCACATATCTCAGAGAGTGCTTCGAGGAGAGCCAATTTTATAGCTTACCACGATTGCATCTTTAGACAAATGCATTGTGGGCAMAGAGCTATCATCTACGGCATCGAGTTTACAGCTTCCCTGTAGGGTGTAAACATGTGGCTGGTTGAAGAGTTTTAACCTCTCRAGCCCTCCAACAAATGTTAAATTGCTAACTATTCTTCCATGATGCTGCGATGTTGACTGAAATTTGACCCTGGTGCTTGCTGAAACGATTTTCAAAATCTGAGTGAGAAGGTTAAATAGTGCTGTCAAATTTCCAAATGTCTRTTGCAGAAATACTTTTGCTGAATATCTGTGGGTTGAGCTCTAAAATGCTTAAAGTAATCCTCTTTTTTTTTTTTCTTCATTATTACGTGATATTATCTAAAGCTTGGGGTTTAGTGCAGATAAAGAAATTAACTTGGGGTTTGCCTTTTTTCTGTGCCACCTAACCCTACCATTTATAGCTATTTTTCTCTTTTTTACTTGTTAAAGGAGGAGTTCAGTCAAATGGTGTTCCTTAAGTACAAACCAGAYCTCCACGTTTCTTTAATTTCTGTTCAAGATCATTGTAATTACTTTATTATTTTCACAGCTGTATCTGAGTAAGAAAAAAGTGCTGTAATTGGCAAGTTTTACAAGTTCACAATTCAATAACCTGATAYGGGAACTCTTCCACCTGCAGGAGCCTAATTAATTGCTGTAGGAGTTTCAGCAGTTAAGAGAGCTGGGTTTCAAATTATTTCTCTTTTGAGGTTCAGCCTTCAAACTAGAGAAACTCTGCAGTAACAAAAATAGATGGRACCTTCAGGCTGAGAGAGTCTGTTTGTTATTGGATGAGTGTTTGACTTCCAAGTGGATCTGTTAGGAGGGCTGTTGTTTACCCAACTYATTACTTACATTCATAAGCTCAAACCATTTTTATTTGAGCTTTTTTTGTAAAATCTAGGACATAATTTCCCGAATGCTCTTACTAGTTCTAGCTTTGTTTATTTTGGCCTTAGGTTGCATTAGATAATTAGTTTTTATTTAAGAGATGAGTCTTATGTTGCAAGAAACAGTGTTAAATTGTAGTAAGACTGAGTCTTTAAAGATGCCATACTCCAGCCGTAACTTTGAATTAATTTTGTTATTTTAAAGCAACATTTGTGCCTGTCTCTAAGKTTTATGGAAAGCTCAGAAGCTTACTTGATTTCTTTTTTTCTTGATTCCAGGGCTTTTTCCGCAGGAGTATCCAGAAGAACATGGTTTACACATGTCACAGAGATAAAAACTGTGTTATCAATAAAGTTACCAGAAATCGCTGCCAGTACTGCAGACTACAGAAGTGCTTTGAAGTGGGAATGTCCAAAGAATGTAAGTTGTCTCAGAAACAATTTATTGTTTGTCATATCCTACACATATGTGGTAGTCCTATTGGAAAAAATTATTATGCAATTATATGATTGAAACCAGTGTCTGCATTCCTATGGAGGGAAAGGAGTACGGATTTGGTACACAACTTTAGACCTGTACTTTACAAACTTCTGAGTCCTTAACTCTGCAGCCTATAAGCTGTGTGTTCGTACTGCCTGGGCCCTCTCTGAAAGATGAAACAAGCTGGCAAATGTTCTTCTCTAAACCTGCAAAGGCAGTAAACCTGATTATGCAGAAGTGCTGCTAAGCACACCAAAACCCCAGAGAATTTTCCTCTCCCTTCTTTTCTAAACATCTCTGGTTTGCCCTTTAAATTAACATTTTAAAATATTTATGCAGAAATATGGGATCTTCTCTTTTTCCAGTTTATTGATATCCTCATCAAGCCTGAAAATATAGCTAAAAAAGCCTTTTTCAAATCCCATGGGGTAATGCTTCTGAAACTTTCTYATTCTTGATTGGATTGATTGCAGTAACAAAAAAGTCTTTGGTGTAGTGATCTGTTTGATTGTTGAGGGTWGTTTTTACCTCTATCAGCAGTGTTCCTGGTGTCAGTAGGTCAATTCCAGTAATAAACKSTRCAGAAATTTGCAGTGTGTGTGTAASAGAGGAGGGARCCACCTCCAACACCAGTTATTAACTTTAATTCATCCGCAAGTTTCTTGGAGAGATTTTAAGACCAAAGGGAAAGAAAAATTGGGAATGATGACACATTTGTGTCTGAACTGTTGTTTAAGCCAGTCCTCATCTTCAGCATTTTACATCCCCGAACTGTGTAGGACATCCCAGTAGCGCCCTTCTCTGTACTTGGTCARGAGCTAAAGAGGTCCAAAAGTCACATTTGTGCTTCCTCATTGCATCCCATTTCTCTCTCTCACCTTCTCTGTCCTCTCTGAGAAAGAGTGTTGAGAACTGGAGAAAGAACCAGGTACATCCTTAGGACCATTGTGCTGTATTTCCAGCTTCTTTTCATGGAAATCTGAAATTGTGGTTAATAAAACATTTTTAGCTCTCAGGGGAGGAGGTCTTAGGATTTCTATTATTTCACTGTCCTTGGTGGGTTTTCTAGTGTTCTCATGTGCTTGAAGTGCACTTATCAATACTTAGGTGTAGATCTGCTGGAGTGGAGACCATGAAGAGAGTAAAGGGGAAGGTAGGCTGAATGCAAAGATGTAAGATTGAATGAGGTGGGTTTTATTGATATCTGTTTCACTGCACATGTATCTGTGCACATGAAGCTTTTTTTCTTTGATAAAAACAGTATGATGCACTTTGGAAGAGAAGGAAATTTTTCTCACCTGAGGGCTTGTTGGTCTTGAGTTCTTAAGGAGTTTATTGCTGACGTGAAATAGTAATCTTATTAAATGCTGTAACGTCACATTGGAGTAGGTTTTAGAAGYATTAGCAGTATTTCTAACATGTTAACCAAAGTTACTTTGGATAAACTATAAAGACTTACTCCCTTTTAGGTGATGGATTGTTTTCTCCCATAGGGTAGCTGGAGCCTTKCCAACAAGAATTAAGGTTTTGCTCTGCCTGTTTCCTGGGGTGAACTGAGTGAAATTGCCCTTTGGCAGCTGCCTTTATCTCGAACTACTACAGGCACCAAAGGGGGATAACAGGTTGGAGGGGGAACAGAGGATCCTGGGGAGAAGTGAGGGATGTCCTCTGGCTACATTTCTGTAGAAGGCATTTGCAAAGGAACAGAGAAATTACTTTAAATGTCATCAGTTTGAATGCAGTGTGTCTTGTCTTCTGGGTTTAAGAACTAAGTCTGAAGTGATTCTGTGTTATCCCTTCATAAACAGGAGCTTTTCATCTCTTAAGAGATTTGAAAAACTATTTTCTTATCTGGCCTTCTTTCTTACATATCTCTAGGTTTCAACTCAGTTTCTTTAGAAGTTTATGTAAACAAAGGCRCATCTGCCAGTTGGCTTTTTCTTACCAGAAAGAGGTTTTTATTTTTCCCCCAGTGCATTATTCACATTTTATTTTACTGTCTTCTTACAGTTCTGTTACCTTGTAACGTAAAAGCCCTGAACAAAGGATAGAAAAAAGTATCAGAAATCTCACAGGGAAACAAACCTACAATGCTCAGACCAGTCCCAAATGGGGAAAGTAATCACGGTGGCACCTGCAAATAGGAACCCCAAGGTCTGCTCCTAGGAGCTTAGGAGGAGTGGATGCTGATTTTCAGTATACAGAGTAATCTGTGCTTTAAAGCTACACTCCCGTGTTTGTGTTTATTTGTTCTGCGTTTACAGGGCATGCAGAARTACTTGCATATGCAGCTCCCTTTGAGCTTAATGAGCATTCCTCCAAACATCAGAGAAGACATGGGAACTGAGTGCATAGCCAGTGTGATAAGTAGRGGTTTAAGAATGGGGGTACAGTCTTTGAAAGAGAGGAGATACTGAGCATTTCTTGTRTGCTTTTATCTTGTTTCAGAGAATGAAGTGAGATGATGAAGGAATGCACCAAATTTGCATTTCTTTATAGGTTGTTTTGTTCGTGTAGGGGAAAAAAGCTATCTTCAACCCCATTTTACTCCCCTGATCTGATCAAGAGAGGTCAGTAACTACACTACCTCCAGGGCAGGAGTGGAGCTATTTGCCTTGTGATAATATCCTCAAGACCCACTGAAACTGGATCCCRCTAGTGTAGGGACTGTCTTTCATTGTGTTGTCCCTGTTGCAAAAAGTTTGTGCTCCAGATAGGCAAGACAAAGAGTGTGAGGGGAAAACACTTAGTGATGACTGCCTTATCATCCTACAACAGGACAAAACACAACTTGAAATAAAGCCCTGCTCTCTTTAATCAGATACTCTTCCCTCAGAAATGCCAGAGCTTTGTCCCCGAAACCTGAGCTGCAGCTCCCTGTTCAGGGCCTGGAGCCAGTCCCTCTGCCAGCACTGCATCAGGTTTGGGATTGCTATATGGCTGTCCCACGCCAGCTCATGTAGGAGTGCTTAGGGGAGTGTAGGTGCAGCTGAGACTCTGAACCCCACTCTAAACCATTTCTGTCCTTCACAGCCTCCCAGTCTGTTCATTTTTTTTAATTACCATGTAGAGACAAACGGTGATCGCACAGGATTCTTTTTTTTGCCACTGCTGAAGCGAGGAGGCTCCTAAGGCTGACAGTGGCTCATTATGTGATGGAGAGCCTTAGGAAACTAACCTTTGCCCTTCTATTACGTGCTCTGCCCGCYGCTGTTGCAGCCCATCCTCGGCGTGACCCCAGGTGTCACAAAGGCGCTCGCTGTTGCCTGGCTGCGGGMGCTCGGTGCTCAGGAGCTGCCGGGGGTCATGCGGCCGCCACTGCCTCCTGCGATTAAGGGAGCACGCAGGAAGCTGGGCAAAACTCTCCGATGAGAATGGACYCTTTCAGGCAGGATGCTGCAGCTTTGTGAGGTGGAGCCTGCCCATAAAGAGAACCTAAACTGGATRTTTTTATGGGGTATAAGGGGAAGGAAAATGGAGCTTCCTTCTGCCACAACTGCCCAGCTTAGCCCAGCAACTTTTCAACTTCCATCTTTTTCATAAAATGTGCAGACTGCAGGAACTGTCACTGTACTTGATGCACTTAGGGGTCCCCTTAGACATATCCCAGCCCACGTACCAGGGTGTGATACAGAGAACTCCTCTTTATACTGGCATAAACCTTGTCTGCAGTGAGCTCTAACGGAGCAAAATTATGTTTATAAAGGCACAGAATTGTTCCAGATTACTTCAGTGCACTGAAGCAATGTTCAGATTTGTAAATCTGCTTACAATTAACCTCTCTGGAGGGAGGAAAGGAGGAAGGGAGGGAATGCAGGGAAATTATCATGAAGAGGAGAGAATCCAGTTTCTGTGTGCTGTATTTGTTGGGATTTTTTTTTTTTAACTCGTACAGAAATGTCTTTTACTCTTTGCCACAGACTTGAGTCTTATAATATTWAAATGTTCATGCTTCTTGGAACATATGATTACATTCTGCTACYGAACAATAGAATGAACGGATTTGCTTATTTTCACTCTGGTAGAAATTGGCAAGCAGGAAACATTAACTTGAGGAACTCTAATGTTTATATTTTTTATTTCTCTTTAATTTTTTTCAGACTCCATAGTGCAGCATGGTTCCATCTGCAATGAGGGGCTAAGCAGAGGGCTAGTCTGCACTGAATTTGAACAGTTCATACAGATTCCACTGATGTAATTTTAAAGTGAATTAATTAGAATGCATGAAATCTTTATTTAGATGTTAGTCAGAACTGAACTGGAGTTATTTTATTMTTTTTAGCCAGCAGGAAGCACTGGATTTAGGAATTGTTTCTGCTTTGCTACAGGCTAGATTTTTAACTGGATGCCTAAATACCACACAGTGGCTGGGGGCTTTTTCAAAAATTCCAGAGTAGTTGCCTTGCCTGTTAACTTGCTTTCTCGAGAGGCAAAAGCTAAATATCAGAGTGGAAATCACAAACCCCTGAATTCTGTTCTGGGACTAATTCCTCCCTCTAAAMCCTACAAGCTGATTAGACTATCTTTCCTGTCTTGAGAGCTGAAAGTTATGTCTTTTCACAAGGGCTTGTATTGTAAGTGCTTTCAAAGAAAAGATGTAAGCTGTGAAAACACCAATTAAATTAAGAACTGAAGTATATAGATAATGGCAAAGCTGTGCCCAAGCCATAGAGATCACACTTTTTTTTTTATTTTGTTTTTTAAGAGTGGATTGTTTTGGAGACATTTTTCAGTTTGTCATCAGATAGGAAACCTTGTATTAATTTTTTTCAGGTTGAGAAACTGGGAAGTTTTAAAAGTTAATGCCAAACTCTAAATATCACCGATGGGGAGATTTTTTAAGATGAGAGCAAAGCCAATGGGGAAGAGTCTTCCTGCAACAAAAACCACAGTGCTSTAGTGTCAGCCTGTGTTCTGCCAGAGATAATGCACACTTTGTT